CCAACTTTGGGGCACTGTAACTCATTGAATATGAAACCAAAATTGACAAAATTATAGTCTAAAATCATGTACAAACTCTAAACTACACTCCGGAAAAAACCGCATGTCAATCCGACTTTAAACGAATGAGATATGCATGTGTTAAAATTTTCACAGAATACAAAGTACAAAAACAAATAGCTGAAAAGTTGAAAATTTTCAGTTTTGATATCCCGACTTCGGGGGACTGTAAATCATTGAATATTAAACCAAAAATGACAAAATTATAGTCTAAACTCATGTACAAACTGTAAACTACAAGTTGGAAAAAATACATGTCAATCCGACTTCAAACGAATTAGATATGCATGTTTTAAAACTTTCACAGAATACAAAAAAACTAAAAAACTAAAAACTTTCAGCTTTGATATATCGACTTTGGGGGACTGTAAGTCAATGAATATAAAACTAAAAATGGCAAATTTATAGTCTAAAATTATGTACAAACTCTAAACTACACTTTGGAAAAAGCCGCATGTCAATCGGAGTTGAAACGAATGAGATATGCATCTTTTAAACGTTTCACAAAAACCGGTTCCGGCCCTAAAACTGGTTCCGGTTCCTAACACCGGTTCCGGTTTTTAGACCCGGTATACCCGAACCCGATGGAGCCAAACCCGGATTACCCGGAACCCGGATAAAGCCAATTTTTAAACCCGGAACCGGAACCGGTTCTATATATTCCAGTTCTAACGGTTCCGGTTCCGATCCGATTCCGGTTCCGGTCCGGTTTTCCGGTTCTAAATCTCATCCCTAATCGGTACAACCCGACTTCAACTTGTCGAGTCCCTTACTGGACTCGCCGAGTTCCCCTATCTGATTGGGCTATCTTAATGGATTAAGCCCCTACACTTTAGATCCAAGCTTCATACTTCACATAAACCCTGAAAATGTCCTTTTAAGGGTAAAGTTTCTGACTTTGCCCCTTAATACCACTTCTTACAGGGTTTAGCTCAAACCATAATTCATTGGGACCTAGAAATTGGTCCTTAAGCCTTCCTTACACCAAACTCAAGCTTACAACCTCAAATCTAAACCCCTAACACTACTTGGACATGTAAAGTTCCCACCTTTCCCACATGCATGGCCTTTTGGGGCTAAAAAGGCCAATATGACTCTCTAAAGCTTGCATGTGGGATCCAATGGCATAAAATTTGCACCTTTATGTCATAACAGCCCCTCTAGGTACTAGATCTGGTAGAATACCCTCTTGGGTCGAGCATTTCCCAAAAGCTACCAATCTTGGACCAAAAACCCACATAAAGAGGACATAAAGAGATTTAATGAACTAATGGCCAAGATAGAAACTTTATTACCAGAAAATGTAGCAAATGGAGTGTAGCTTCTGGATCTACTCTTTCCCTCTTGAGCCCTTTATCTTCTTCTTCTTCCACAAGCTTCAAAAGCACACAAGATCACTCAAAATGGCTCACACTCTCAAAGAAAGCTCTAGGGGTTTCGTGGATTAGGATTTGGGATAAGGAGGCTGGAAATGAGGCCAATGGGTGGGGGTTAAGGAGCTTAAATAGGGTGTAAAACCCCGAGATTAGGGTTTCATGGGCTCTTGACTCGTCGAGTAGATAACTCAAACCCCACACATAATTTGCCTTCTACTCGACGAGTTAGGGCCACCAACTCGTCGATTTCCTCTTTCAAAATAAATAAATAAATGAGTTAAATGCATACCAGGGACCAGGCGTTACAGTTTATATGGTTATATGGTTATATGATTATGTGTGTAACGGGCGGGTCCCACCGTCAGGCGGGGCCTGGTAATTGACAGATCTGTAATCCGAGCGGGGGTCGATGCCTGGCGGGGTCCGAAGCCGAGTGGGACTTGAGAGCGGGCGAGCCCCGATGGAGGGCGGGGGCCCAGTATGTGATTTATGTATGTGTAGTATGTGGTATCTTGGGGAACTCACTAAGCTTTGTGCTTACAGTTTTCAGTTTATGTTTCAGGAACTTTTGGTTTCAAAAAGGAAGAGCTCGGGGTTGACTGCATGACGCACACTTTATGTTACGCATTTGACTTTGTTCTGGGATTTATACTCTGATTGTAATGTATCGGTTTTGAAACAAGTAATTGATGACACTTCTTCTATAAATAAAATGAAATTTTATGTCAATATTTTTGGGACGTTATAGAATGAATACCTTAATTGCCTAAGGCATTTCATCGAACGCCTTATAGGAATCTATATCACAGGTTTCAACTTTATAACCGGTTCAATCCACAACCTGCAAGTAAGAGCAACCGAATCAACTTCCAAATTTCATATCCTGCAATAATACTTGAAGAACCCGTTTTTAATTCCAAATAATCGGAATTCCAAATAATGGGAAGGAATCATTAACAAAGTAAGAACAAAAAAAACCCTTAGTGTTGAATTAGGAAAAGTCAGATGAAATTGACCTAGAATTAGGCAGGTGAAGTGACAGGGTCGAGCAAATGCGATGATAACGATCGTCACCTCCATCCTTTGCCACCGGGACCTCATGTCGTCGCACCACCAACAACTACACTCTCTATGTGGGTCTTCCCTCTTTGAAGAAAGAAAGCACGATGTGGAAGAAGATTGGTAACGAAAGCAGTGGATACGAACGACGACAAGACCACTTGTAACGATGGAAGAACGGGTATACAGTGGTGGTATGGGAGATTAGGGTATACCTTGAATCGATCGACTGAGAAGGAGAAGAAGAAAAGTGCAAACGATAGAGAAGAGGGTTGAGATCCATAAGAGAAATGGGGAGAAAATCCTTCGTCAGAAAATGATAAAACCGTGTGCATGACTTTAGCTGAAGAAGGATGAGAAAGGCAGTGAGAGACAGTGATCCGCACAGGAAGAAAACATGTGTCCAAGACACGGAAGCTGGCATTGACCAGCCAGTCAAGGGACCAAAATGTAAATATGAAAAAGTAATGTGGCAAAAATTTGAATGGGCAGAACTTAAATGTACCTTAAGGCTTTGTCTATATATATATATATATATATATATATATATATATATATATATATATATATATATATATATATATATAGTAGATGTGTGCCCACGCAATGCAGCAGCGATAAATAGTTTTTTTGGCGAATAGTTTTTTATGGGAAAATAATTATTAGATTTTGTTATTAGTTATTTTATGTAATAATAAAAATTACCACTTTTAATTAAAATATTTATGTTTAGAACTTATATTTATATTGTATGTTTATACATTTGATGTAAATTAATTATTATCGGTATCTAGTTTAAGAAATGTAAATTAACTTATATTGATGGATTTAATATTTTAAAATTGTTATTTTGCTCCAAATTAATTTTTTAATAACCTTCCCTAAATTAAGTCTTCAAAATTTTGGCAAGTATTAATGGTTTTGTTATGCATAATTGATTTGCATAAAAAGTGTTGTATCTTGTACCTCTTAAAATTCAAGATATGACTAATATATATATATATATATATATATATATATATATATATATATATATATATATATATATATATATGTTCAGGTTCTATGGAAAATAAAAAACCCTAAAAATCATAAAAATACATAAAAAAACATTTAGAGATCACAAATCTGTTTTTTGACTTAATATTCTTAAAATTCGCAACTTTTTATATAATTTCGCTGAAAATATTTTTGAAAAAAAACCAAAAAAAAAATCGATTTTATAATTTTTTTTAGCGAATTTATAAAAAAAGCTACGATATTTTTATATATAAAGTCAAAAAAAAAGATTTGTGATCTCTAAGTATTTTTTTATGCATTTTTATGATTTTTAGGGTTTATTTTAGGTTTTTTATTTTCCATAGAACCTAAACCTCTATATATATATATATATATATATATATATATATATATATATATATATATATATATATATATATATATATATTAATTACATGTAGCTAAAATAAAAATTGGTTAAAAAAGCTAAAGATGGTGTTTGGCGAGCCACAATTATTATTATTATTATTTTAATATTGTAATGTTTAATAAGGCAACAAGCAGATTATAAGTTAGTTTATAAACAAACTACTTATATTAGTTTTTTTCAAAAAAAATTTAAAAATGTTTCAAATATATCCATAATTAGTTAAAAGAAACTCATTTAGGAGATCCTAAATGTCATTTTATATTATATCAACTAATTTAAAAGCTGACACTTAATTTTTCGACTAATATGCAAATATAGACGAAGTCAACAAAAATATACGCATAATGAATAAAACCTTCTAATTAATGTTATCAAAATAGTTAGAGTAAATACAATAATAAAATATTTTTAAACATATAAAAAACACTAATTATTTATAATAATATTAAATTGGACAAAAAAATATTTTATATAAGCAGGCACTCACACACCAATTGCCACTTTGACTCATTAATCAACACAACTTATTTTGCCATGATGCCATCTATAGTCTTAAGCTTTACGTGTCTAATAAAATGTCCTATTTATCTTTGAAAAAAAGATAATAATATTATGATACGTTGCAAAATAAATGTAACATTAGCTTTACAAATACTGGAGTGTAAACATTTAATCATACATATAAAAAAAACTATGATACTCCTCAAACATAAAGCAAAACATATAATAGGCTAATGAAGATAGTTTAATACATATCGATGGAAGGCAAACGGGCAACAAGCTGGGCAGCTAGTCGTTTCTGGATGGCAAAAACAAAATTAAGGCTATCAATTTTCGGTTTTGAGCTAGTTTTAATTACCAAACACTATAATAAAAAAAAAAGATTAGTTTAAAAACAAATACTTTTAAAACAAAAATGTATTGAATTTATCTTGAAACAAAAAGATTTTTCCATTTGTTTAGAATTTGCCATTGAATATGAAACATTATCACAAAATTCTACATTCCCACCCACAAAGTATAGAAAAACATCACTATAAATAACCTCCACCAACACTAATTTCAATTCCAACTCACTTGCAACACGATAAAAACTAAAATTCTAGAGAGAGAAAATATGGTGCAAGAAGACGAAACGATGCGAAAAGGTCCATGGACAGAACATGAAGATTATCAATTGGTATTTCACGTTCATATGTTTGGAGATCGACGATGGGACTTCATAGCAAATGTTTCAGGTTTGAAGGTGGCGGGAGTAAAAAAAAGAAACTATAGGCCCTTAGGCTGCAAAATTAAGGAAAAAAAGCATCAAAATATATTTATGTTTGTTCATAAAAACAATTAACGTTTTTTCTTGTGTATAACCCCAAAAAATCATTTTTTGGGGATTATTTTTGTTGCGGTTTTTTGATTCTCAGGTTTGAAAAGAACAGGAAAGAGTTGCAGACTGAGATGGGTTAATTATCTGCATCCAGGTCTCAAAAGAGGAAAGATGGCACCTCATGAAGAGCGGCTTGTTCTTGAACTTCATTCTAAATTTGGCAACAGGTTTGATCCATTTATTGTTTTTTATTGTTATAATTATGATTCTATATGAGTATTCTCTTTCTGTTTCTATAAGAAAATAAATAAATCAATAGTTGATTTTCAAAATTTTTCTAATTAAAATAATTTGTAAAATAATTTTAGTTTGAGTGTTGCAGTTGGACTATGCTCTTTGCAAAGATTTAGCACTTAGCAGTGTACGTTTTTTTCTATGTTTTTTCTATTAAATGTGTGCGTTTTTTTTCTTCGATCCATTTGTGTTAAATTTTACAGATTTTCCAGTGATTAATTATGTATATCAATCAAGCCTCAACAAATTTCAGGGAATTTAAGTTTGTTTGAAGACAATATATTTGCAATCATGATAATAAAAATGTAAACAAAAAATACTATAATTTTTCACGAGATAGCAAGAAAAGTTATTTAGTTTATATGTATGAGAAAAATATGTTGTGAGCGTATTTTAAATTTTAAATATTTAATAGATAAATAAATACTTTTGTAAAGTTATTTGAGGAATTTTTAATATGTGGCGGGAATATTATATTTCTATAAAATATAAATATTTTATTTTCCATAAATTGGCGTTTTCCTTCTTTCTTAATGGATGTCTCACTCTACAAACAACTTTTTTAAATATATATTTCTATATTTGGAACCAATCCAAGAATTATTTATTCCATTTGTTCAGTTTACTTTTATTTCATGAGCTCATATTCCTTTTCTGAATAGTGATGAGCAATTAGTTACCATATACTGTATATGGTAACTTCATTAAGTAATAATATTAGGTTTAAGTTTAATATTTAACATTTTAGGTGGTCAAAAATTGCAAGAAAACTACCAGGAAGAACTGATAATGAGATCAAGAACTACTGGAGAACTCATATGCGAAAGAAAGCTCAAGAGAAGAAAAGAACAACATTATCTCGATCTTCATCTCCATCTTTCTCACACAGTTCGTCTTCATCGTCAATCTGTACCAGCAATCCTACCATTGATTCCATGCCAATGATCGAGACCAAAGAACGAAGTTTTTATGACACTGGGGGAGTCGAAATGTTTAGTGTTATGAAAGGCAAAAATAAGAACAACAATAATAGTTTCAAGAAAGCTGCTACCAGGGTTAGTGATTCTAGTGATGGACACGAAGGGTATTGCTCAATGGATGATATATGGAAGGATATAGATTTAGATTTATTAGAAGATGATCATAGTATAAAACCAGTTTTTGATCCTTATAGCGAAATAGCAGTACCTTCACTTACATGGGAATATAATTACTGTTCGAGCACTTCGTGGACGTTCAATGGCCAAGAAGAGTTCGGTAAAGACATGATTTCCCTAACAAGCCAACAATTTAGCGCAGGATTAACCGACTAATTTATTTGATTAATTAATTTTGGTGTGGATAGATGCAATAAATTTCACTGAAACACTCTCCAGTTTATAATTATCTCTCTTTAGATCTTTATTTGAAAAGCTTCTTTGTAATAATGTCTCTTGCATGCATGACTACTGTGTCTAATGTTATAATAAAAAGATTATGTTTATTTCGTTAAGGGTTATCTTGCAAACCCTTGTTCTCATTTCCGTTTATTGTGTTTTCGTAAATATGTCATCTTATTATATCTCATTTATCCAAATAATGAACATTCTTAATCTTAATTGTTCACCATGGATCTTTAAGTGTATAAATAATCTTGCACCCACTGCACCACTATGATTAATCTTATGCTGTAATGATTTTCACTAACTTTATTTAACAAAAACTTATCTTTATAATTATTTTTCCAATTTCATTAGAAGCTTATTTTTAACAAATTAACATTTATTCTTATTTACTTTAAATATTCAGAGCCCTCACCTATAGTTTGTCACCATATTTGTTATTAGTGTCCTTATTTTTTTATCAGAAAATAAATATAGAAGCGCCTTTTCTGTAAAGGCAATATGGTAGATTTTCGTTTAGTAAAGTGATTTGTAAATAATAATGTTTTTTCATACATAAAAAATTATATTTTAAATAATTTTACAATATATTATTTTAAAACATAAATTGTTATATATAAATAAATTTACAATACATTATTTTAAAACATAAATTGTTATATATAAAGAAAAAATGTGTTGTACAAATCAGCTCCCTTTTATTTGAAATTTTTGATTAGCAATTTTTGACCATTATATATGTATGGTTCCTTTTATCATAAGCCTGCACTCTTGTCCATTTGTCTCAACGATTTGTAATACACCTTTGAATATTGAAGATGGATTGTTTACGTGTAACTGAAGCTTTTAGGATTCGAACTACGAGCAAATTTTGGTAGTATATTATCCACAAAATAAAAGCATGTTTGAACTATTTTTTGAAAATTTAAACACTAACTCTACCTTACTATATATAGATAAAATTGGACCATAAGCATGGTGATAGAAACTTGGCATTGGAAATAATGTTTTTGGAACAAATAAAAATTGCCAAAAAAATTGGAATTTGAAAATTTAAATTTGTTATGCTTTTCGTTGGCAAGTAATGTAATCTATTTTCAATTTGGTTTGCGGATTAGTTTATTGAATTAGAAAGTAAATTATATAATATAACCTAAATATAATTTTATTGATTTTTTGAAACTTGTTCTTATTTTTTATAAAAGTTATCAAACTTTCATTAAATAAAATCTAATATACTCAAACCTATATGTTTGTTATGTGTTCACTACAAGAAAAAAAGGGAATTAGCGGCGACAAAAGTCACCGCTAAAGAGTAGAATTGCCGCCGGTAAAAGGTAATAGCGACGACACATCGCCGGTAAAAAGTCGTCGCTACTGCTCTACGCTATTGATCAAAATGTCGCCGGTAAACACAATTGTCGCCGCTAAAGGTGCCGTCGCCGGTAATACCACGTGTCGCCGCTAATGTTACCGTCGCCGCTAATTCTCCCGCCGCCTGTAATAGTGTCGTTGGTAATAACATTTTTCATTTTTTAATTTTTTTTAATAAATGATTTTGGTGCAAAAAAACCGATACATAACGACATTAAATACAGAAAAAAAAATACATAGTATCGAATTAGGTACGAAATAGTGTAACGACATTATATAAAATTAATTTCATACCAAAATAAACAACCAAAGTTTTATAATTACAACAAGCTAGTACCAAAGTGTTGCTACAAGTCTAACATACAAAACACAACTAATTATCCGACGAACCATCACCTTTGTTCCGGTCGTTTCCTCTTTGATCTTTCGCCGATTGAAAAAAACGCATAAAGTTCATCCCTACACGTCGGGTCGTTGAGTATTGCCCGAAGATTTTCCAACTACATAATAAATAACAACATATATAAACTTATAAGTTAAAATATAAAACATAAACAAAAAAACTACCAAAGTACATTGCTACTTTAAACTAGGGACAAAAACCCAAAGTACATTGTTATTTATTGCACTTAAAACATAAACAAAATTACCAACACAATTACCAAATCAACATACATACTAGCATCTTACCAAATTATATTATGTTGTTTTCTATTGTAGTGATTTAATTTATTTTTTCATTGCTAATAATAGTATCCTACTTTATCTGTGTCTTTTTTTTCTACAATCCACATTTAAAAAAAATAACATTCTCAATACTAGTATCTTACTTTATATATATATATTTTTTTCTTTCAATAATAGGATCCTACTTATACCAAAAACACATGCATTCACATACATACATATATAATAACATCAAAGACATATACTTTCACATACACATACCACATATACACAAAATACACATACATTCTCAATACATACAACAAATACACAGTAACATCATACTTATACCAAAAACACATTTTTCACATACATACACAATAACATATTACTTATACCAAATACAAAAAATTTCACACACATACACCAAATTTACATATACATATAACAAATACACACATATACCATATATACATCAAATACACATATTTTTGCAATTAACAAATACACATATATACCAAATATACACAAAATAAACATATTTTTGCAATTAATCTCCAAAATCAGTAAATAGAACTTGTGGTGGATAGGAATCAGTAGTTGGTGTAGTGGTTGTGGTAGTTGACGCCGGTGACATCAACAATTGGCGGTAGTAGAGGTGGCCGGAGTGGAAGAAGCTTTTTGAAAAAAAAATGCAATTAATCTTAAATGCTTATGGAAATCGACATTAAAATAGAAAGAAATGAAGAAATGAGGAAGGAAACACGAACCTTGGAGAAGGAAATCGACAACAGCAACATTGCCGGTGGCCGGAGAGGGGAAGTTTCTGGTGGCTGGCGGTATCTCTTCTACTATGGGTTGTTAAATGAGGGAGAATCGTCGGAGGAAGGGAGAATCGTCGGAGCAAATGAACGAGAAAATGAAACAAAATGAGAGCAGATCGAAGCAAAAAGAGGAAGCGATTGGGTGTAATATGTGTCGACCTTTATCGGCAACACCCAATAGCGGCGACAAATGATTCAATACTGACGACATGAATCTTTAGCGGTGACCTACGAAGAGGGAAAAGAAGACGTTTTTTTTTTACCTTTAGTGGCGACAATTTTAGGTCTTTAGCGGCGACATTTTGTCGCCGGTATTGGTTTTGTGCGTTCAACAAGTTTCCCAGCCATTGGATTAGAAAAAGGATCGAACGGTTGACGTTTACCAGAACGTGAAAACACGGATTCGGGTAAGTAGGCATTACCGGCGACACCAATAGCGGCAACAGTACCTTTAGCGGCGACTTTTCGATTTGTCGCCGCTAAAGGTGCTGTCGCCGGTAATGGCTATATTTCTTGTAGTGTTTAGGGTGTGGGGTGGGGGTGGGGATGATGGTAGGGATGAGGGTGTGTTTGGGTATAGGTAGTAAGATGGGTACGGTGTGGGGCGAGGACATGAGTGTTAAATATGGTGCTGTAGTGTAGGATGGGATTGTGGGCATCTGATTATTGGTGAGGGGGTAGGTAGGGTGGTGTATGCTTGTGGGTGGGTGGGTAGGGGAATGGTAGGGTAGGGTAGGGTAGGGATAGAAATGGGTGGGTGTGTATGAGGGTAGGTGGATGGGTGGATGGGACGTGGGAGAGAGAATGATAATATGGTTTGATTAAAATAAAGAAGATATGGAATGATATTAATGTTGTTATAATAAAAATAATATATAAAGAACATTTTTGTAATGTTATACATAGGAACCATAAATAATTTCTTAAAGATTTATTTATAATTATAAGAGTAAACTATAGTTTTGGTCAAAAAGTTTAACCTTTACAAACTTGACATGACGTATTTTTATGGGTTAAAGAAATTATGTCCTTAATCCAAATAAAAAGACAATATTATAATTCTATTTTTTTTTCTTTTACTCCTCTATATTAATTAATAATATATGATAAATAAATAAAATCCCAATTTTAGTTATATGAGTTTAAAAAACCCCACTCATTCCACCTTACGTCTATTCATATCTCGTTCTTCTTTTTACTGTCTTCTTCCTCCTTGCCCTTCCTCAACCAGCAACCTTAGATGTAATACCCATAATTTTGGGCTAAGTATTTAGAGTATAATCGTAGCAATTATACATTTTATCGAAAAATTAAAAATCGTTAATTAAAATAATTGTTCTTCATATGTGTTATGAGATAATAAATAATTATCGTGCACACATCAAGGAGACAAATATTAGGATTATATAATATTTTTAGAAAACTTAAATATTAAATTATCGTTGAACGGTAAAATGAAGATTAAAAATAAAATATTAATTGGGATAAATAATCTTAACGAAAGTAGTAGTTGTTGTGACGGTGATCTCGTGGATGTAAAGAACGCCCAAATCTGACTTCCTATGAAAAAGTTATGATTTGTCTAAGTTTCGCGTTAAAACCGATACGACAAGATGCGTCATAAAAAGTGAACCGGAGATAGATGGTTTTTAGCCCAAGTGATGTAAATGAAAGACGAAGTGCTCATCAATAGGAACTCATCAATATAAAGAATGTCAAATTCTGACTTCGTATGAGTTAACCAAAACAATGTAAACGAGAGGTGAATATCTCGTAAATAAGAATCCATCGGTATAAAGATAGTCGAGATCGGAGCTTGTATGTGAAGGATATTGGCGAAACTTGGTCCCTAAGTTTCGAAATGCACGCGAAATCTGTTCAGATTTCAAAATTTTGAAATAGAATGAGAATTAGCCGACAGAGTCTAAATGAAAGTTTTAGTACTCGTTGATACAAATTCAGGGATATAAAGATAGTCGAAAAAGGAATTTGTATGAAAAAGTTTGTTGATACATAAAAGTGAACCTCTAGCAATCTGAGCAAAAGCAGATCCGAAGTCAAGAGCAATCCGAGATGTGAAGAAAATTCTGAATTCAGTCTTCTTCCGAGATGAAGACATTTCCAAGACACTCGTAGTTTATTGATGTGATAGTGTCTGTACAAGCATTAAATACTCCTTGTCGTATTATTGAGTGA